TATATATATCAGGGGCGGCTCGTGGGTTTAAAAAATGGGCGTGCACAATTAAGCTATCTCAGGCTGAAGATAGTCAAGGACATAGTAAATGGGATGGTGTATAATTTTAGGATCTTTGGGTTGGTGAAGGAAGACCTTGTGCTTTTATTTTCATTCTTTTTACTTGTGGCTTTGACTTCTAGAACAAAATCTGTTTGTGTTAGCTAAACGTCAATTTCATTCATCCTGCCTTAGAATTGAACACTCAAGTCATACCTTTCACCACTCCACTACAAAACCGTTCAAAAGCACAACTCACAGGACGGGGACTTAAAAGTATGGCACATTCACCTCCCTCAGGTTCATGGTCACAGAGTCACTTAAAATAGCGGCAAGACAATGAACCAATCACAATTCACTTGAGCACTCCGCTGGATTGCTCCGGGGCTCACATAATTTTGGCATAGAATAGTGCAAGGTCTATCGCGTTTATTTTTAGATTGCCTACTGTGGGCTATGTTTCGGCACTTTTCGGCAGGATCACATTTGAGATGTGCCGTCTTATTAATATTAATGTACCGCCAAACTCTCTACGAGTGTCGTCATCGCTTGGGTTATCCCAAAGAGCGATTTATAGGTCAGGTTTCCACTGTTGAATATCCTGTTATGTTTAGATACAGCGCATGGACTTAGGCATGGGATAGTAGATGTTTTACGGCGCTATATACATAGAAATGACAGTTACGGTGCCAGCGAGGACCTTCTTTTGATATCATATTTGGCTAATGTTTGTCTTTGGCGTCTTTTATGTTATTATTGTGGGTGCTTTACGTCATAGAACATTAAAACATTTTGGGCGGCACTGCACGACCGTGCTCTATGTACGAACCGCGCCTGATATATTTATATATATATATATATATATATATATATATATATATATATATATATATATATATATATAAATATATATATATATATAAGCTGCGACCACAATATTTTATCAACCAACAACCCATAAATCCTGTCTGAGACGGCCTTGACGCTGTGGACTAGCTGTCATAATCCACCCAATAGTTGTTATTGTTAGTCCCTCCAATAAATGCGTAAGTCACTCCCAACTCAAGTTAATCACCCGGTAATAATTTTTCAGCTACTTTTGGAGGAAGAATATGATTCGTCATAACAGTAACATAACACTATAAGCCCCGCCCAGAACTCAAACACAAACGCTTTAATTATCTAGTGAGATTACCGGTCACTGATTACCCAGTCTCTAACAAAGGACGTAAATATGAGCTTGCGACAGAAGCGTCGTTTGCTCTCCCAGTGGTGGCGACCCATAATGTGTTTGTTTTACCTTGGCACTCGGACTTCCTTGTCTGACGCATTTCATTTTCTCAAATTTACCCTAGCTCACTGTCTTCTTCATCTGATACGCTTCGTAGAATTTGCACTGCTAGATACACTTCGTAGAATTTGCACTGGTAGGTCCTACTGTGCTTCTTTACTTTCCATCTGTTGCTTCTGTCCGTCTGTTTGTCTTTGAAAACGTGAATATGGAAGAGAGAAGAGGAATGATTTATATGTTTTGAATTACGAGTACTTTATCTATAATGCATTCGTTCATATTCTAAAGTATGTTTTGTTGATAGCAATAACAAGCAAGGAAATGCACGTGTGTTGTCTCTTGGCAAAGATTGGCCTATAATTTGTCCCGCCCCCCCCCACATTTTTCCTTTTTTTTGTAATAAGTCTGTTGGTGTTTGCTCCTTTATTCAAATGGATAACCCAAAGTACGTTTTTACCCTCAGATAAGTACGAACTCAAGAGACCATGGGTGGATTGTTTATCGTCCAATAAAAGCCACTGGAAAGAAAAGGCGATCAAAGGTAGGCTGTCGTATTTTACTCTTTCCTTTTGCTGGCTCTGATTTGTTGATTGTGTGAGTTATAACCTGTAAGCAAACAGCTTGAGAAACCCTGAGAAAGTATAATAGCCCAATTGAAGAACTGTGGAGCTTGCCTGCCCTAGAAAACTGCAATCCCCCTTGACTCTTAACGGCAACAGAGGGTGAAAAAGTAAAAATAAGTAACAAAAGGCGTGTGTTACTTTTGAACGTTATGACATTATGTTGAACTCCTGTGACTATGGAACTAATGAATAGTTTGTCTGACTTGGCTTTTAAAGCCATGTGTGTGTGTGTGTGTGTGTGTGTGTGTGTGTGTGTGTGTATATGTGTGTGTGTGTGCATGTGTGTTTGTATGTATGTATGTGTGTTATGTGTCTACTGCGTGTATGCATTTATGTATGTATGTGTGTATGTGTGTGTGAATGTGTGTATGTGTGTTTATGTGTCTGTATGTGTGCGTGTGTATGTGTGCATGTGTGCACTTTCAAAAGTGGAAATGAAGCTTCTTAATGTTCAAAATGTGGCAACTCTTCTCTGTCAAAAATAGTCTCATTGACCATAGCCGAATCCACTATATAATACCTATTTCTTCCATTTATTAAGAAACAATCTCTTTTGATATTTATTGTCATCGTCAGACATCAGCAGGCAAACTATTATTATTGTTATTATTATTATTATTATTATTATTATTATTATTATTATTATTATTATTATTATTATTATTATTATCATTATCATTATCATTATCATTATCAGTTTCATTATCACTATCATTATCAGTTTCATTATCACTATCATTATTGTCATTATCATTTCTCCAGATGCCGAGGAGAGAGAAAAAAGTAAACAATGTGCCTCAGAGGACGAGCCCGAGAAGCCAAGTGACAGCCGCCAACCACCCAGCCCTGCACCACGAGTGACAACGGCTACAACGGCCAACGCCGCCCCATCGTCCCCCCAGCCGGCCCCGTCGTCGTCCTCCTCCTCCTCACCATCGTCGCCATTACCTCCTCCGTCGTCGCAGAAGCCCAAACTGTCGCCCAAACCAGTGCTGCCCCCTGTCAGATCCTCATCATCGTCCACTAACTCCCACCCTATGGTGGGCTCAGTCAGGAAGGGCAGCCCGCAGGATTCGAACCCGAACCCTCTAAATTCGGGGGATAAAGGTAAGGAATAGTAGTTGGTGGATGGCAAGTGACCGGCTCCTCCCAAACCGTTGCAAACTTCCCTGGCGGAGCCCCCTCGCCTTCCCCGCTTCCTCTTCCTTCCTTGGACAATGTCAAGGTCATGACTTCTTCGTTGTGGTCACAAACTCAGGGTCAAGGACATGACCTGTCACTTTGCGTTATTTATTGCATCCTACTGTTTCTCCATTTATGTATTATATGTGTTTCCTGTGCTATGACAATGTGCATGAAGACAGCCTCTGGGGTCTAGACCGAGTCCTGGGTCTCTGTGTTGAAGACAATGGAATCTAAACGTCCTCAAAGACAGGATGGCCTCATACAAATAGATAAGCCCTTACAAGCTTTGTATTGATTCTGAAAGAATACTAGTACATTCATTGTACACTGCAGTGTACTTCCCTGGAATGTACTGACAACGTATTTTTTTTCGGTAGGGCTACAGTTTAAATTTTGAAACAGACGAGGAATATTGCCTGAAGTTCGTTATACCCGAGCAGGGTACAATCAGGACGGAGAAATATGTAAAACTTTGGTTGGGATACTAGGGGTGTGGACTAAACATTAAAATTTGGATAATTCCTACAGACGACAGACTGTATGCTTTGCCTGTTTCATCGCGGCTTATTATGATATTTCCTTTCTCCTGCTTCCTGTTTCATTACTATTTATTGATGTTGCTCTCGATAGTCATGCGGATACAATTCAAAAGTCATGAGTCAGTCGTGTTCCATGTACGGCGATGGCTTCATCATTATAATTTTATTAGAAGATTCGATTCTGGTGCCGTCTACGTCAGAAGTAGTTTTTAATTTCTTTGGAGCGAGCACACAATATACGTCAATCCCGAGTTGTGTGGTGACACCCTGAGACAGGCTCTGATTCATAGTTTTAGTAGTTCTCTAAAGTCCTGTTAAAGAAAGGACGCTGTGATCCTGTGAATAGGCCCGCCTCTAAGCAAAAATGTTGCTATATTGTGATAGCTAAAGTTGAATATTAATGCCATGTCCATTATATTTCACAATGACTTTGTATACTTTCATTTTATTCTCTCAACTGTAATATAATAATATTATACGTATGAAATTGACTGGCATTGTATTCTTTTTATTTCCAAGTACTTCCACAAACACATGAGACAAGGGCCCTACAATGTCGCATAAACGTAATTGTTATTGTGATTGATAACATTGAAGCCATGGCTTATTTAATGACATTTGTAAATTTCACGGACAATTCATTTCTGAACTTTGCAAATCGTGCCAATGCTATGAAATCCATTATGCATCAAATGTGATAACGAGCGTTTTGTGGATGAAGCAATTTTGTTCTGTTTTACAGTAACTCACACTTGTACTACTCACTGCAGGGATTTTTTTTCGAATATAGAGTTTAATTACTATGTTCCCCCCAAAATTTACTCTTACTCTTCACCCTCTTTAGCAAAAATACAGTAATTTGCTAGGTGTTTTTTTATAAGTTTTTCTTTCCTGTTTTTTATCAGTTGATTTGTAGGGTTCTTTATACTTTTGAATGTTTGTTTGTTTTATGTGAGCTTTGTTCCTCTGGGTGTTATTTTGGGTTGGGATGGAACAGTGCCAAGGTTACCACTCGTAGCTATTTCACAGAAACTCAACATTTGCTTCTGTCCTTCTTTGAATGTGCACATTGTCACTCTCGTTTCAAATGAGTTTATTAATCCTTGCTATATTGCTATGCCATCTGAAAACATTCTCTGAACCGTTTTCCTGTACCATGTTGCTCTTACGTTTATCTACATTTTCTGTACATCTGTCTATTGGCAAGCAGAGGACAGTCCATTTTTATTTCAGTTTTTATCTTTGGCTTCTAGTCCATTCCCCCCCCCCCCCCCCCCCCACATTTTCAGACACCTAGTCATTCTCTGTTAACTAAACAAAGTTCATGCAAAATTAAGTATCGAGAGCTAGTGGCCTTACAACAACCATTAAAGGAAAAGGTCAATTATTCTAAAAATAAACCCCTAAAGAATGGGCACATCGGGGGGCGTGACGAATCACAAGGTTGTTGGGTTTTTTTAAGACACTGATCACGTCATAACCAATGACCTGTCTCTGATTGTCGGAGGTCCTTTTCTCAGTGTAACCTCAATCAGTTTGTTGTATCAATTGTGTGTTGCTTGTAATTAGTTTTTAAGATTCTGAGCTAACGTCTCTTCCTGTTATGTAACCTTGGAGTATACTATTCTTTCCTGGATATATTGTGCTTTTACTCTTATGAAGTTTGAGTTCGTATTGCTTTGAAATTGGTATGTTGTAAGTCAAGAAAGAAAATCTGCCCGTTTTCCTCCGCGAAAACAAAAATAACTCACTTTTACACTTTTGTGTTATTGCTACAGCAGAAAGCTTTAGCTCTAGACGTATGCAGCCCCAAAAGACAAATGTGTAGATGGGACTACGGAAAATTGTGATTACTTTGATCTCACTTCAGTTCTTTTTCTCTCAACGAAATTTCCTTTTTGTTTGTACTTTGTCAAATGTGTATGGACTTTAGAAAACGAGACGTACATTTTAATTTTGAAGTTTTCTGTCAACACTTTGCTTTCAGGTGTTGCAGTAAATCTCAGTCACGAGGAAAGTTTATAAAATGTGCCCTTTGAAGACGAAATTTAAAAAAAAATAGAAACTGCATACTTGTCCGGCGCCTTTCTAGTCTTTTCCAGCGCATCAACTTGCTGATGTGAAAAATCTTCGATGTGTATAATCATTGTTTAAAACGATACGATTCTTCATGGTCAATATTGATGGTACACAGAACTTATAGGTAGATACAATGCGCACGGTGAGGGAGACCCACAGAGATCAGCTGTGTGTTTGTATGAAAAACGTGAATGTCTCGTTATGTCAACTATATACTACACACTACACCACTTGTACTTATTAATTATCTTCGGTGATTTGATGAATGGTGCAAATAGCAATGTTAAAGAATGTATGAGAGTAAAGATCGTAATATTTTTTGCGCTTGTTGCAAAGAGCAATGTTAAAGAATGCGTGGGATTCAATGTGATGCGTGAGATTCAAGATGAAGCGTGAGATTCAAGATGGTAATGATGAAGCGGCGTCTGTGTCCCGAGAGTTTTCAAGTGACTGAAACAATTGTCATACTTCGAATAATTGCACATGTCAAGGGCATTCAAGGCGCGCGTCGACCCAGATTAATCAGGGGAAAATTCGGACTACTGAAATGCAGTTTGACCATTCCAGTTCCATTTATCTTCAAAATGATATTACAATTTCTTTCAGATAGATACTCTTCATTTTAATGATAGGAACGTAACTATTAGTGTCCTATTTTTCGCCTTTACACCCACTGAACGTACTTTGTACTTCGTATGTTGTTTGTCAATTTTTAGTCGTGAGAGATTATTGCCTTGCGTTCACTCAGTTTTTGTTTTCGAAGAGGTGAATATAAATTATTGTTCTAAACACTTTGTTCTATAGACATTTAGCTTTTTAAAATAAAGAGAATCTCCTCCTTTTCGTTAAGTCAACGCATTGGGACAGGATATGTAGAGAAACATTGCAAGATATATTATTATAATCTTTGATTCCTTTAGCACTGCACTGATTACTCCAAAGACGTACAGATCTTCATTGTCTAGTTGTGGACCTTTATAGAAACCTTACTTATAGGTATATCGTAGACAGAACTTTCGATTTTTTTCTTTTACAGCCAATAGTTATACTTCCGAATCTAAAACAGGAATTACTCTCACGATTGTCAGATAGCTGGACTGTGTCCAATTTGTTTAATATATTTTTTAATCTATTTTTTTTTGTAAGCATAATAGCAGTCAATGGTATACGTGTGAAGGAGTATTCCTTTTGTCTAATAATATCATGATCCATAGCAGTGCTGGTTATGCACGATTTTCCTTCTCATCTGTATTTATTAACACCTAATTCTTAAATCCAAGCAAGGTATCCAAACCCCATAATGTAAGTGGTCAGGACATAATATGGAACTCTTTAGATGCGATGTCTTGCTCCAGACTAAACACTTGATTTCTCTAGATCGGAGAGTCGCAATTCCAAGGGGACTACACTAAAGAAAACATGTCAGCCTTTAAAGATGAACAATTATCATTGCGCCTAACGTAATGTATAGTATGCCCTTGATGATAGGACACGTCTCAACTTTCGACGAAAGAAAAGATTTGTAACTATAGAATATCAAAAATTACGGCCAAGAATTAATTGTTACTAGTTTAGTTATTGTTTTAAAGTGCTTCGTTGATGAGGCATTTTTCACTTCTTTGATTGTTATGTGCGTGTCCCGGGTTTCTGGGACCAAAACATTTAATTTATAATTCCCCTGTGTGCGGTTTTGCTGTGTTTTATTTACTTAATATTCGAGCTTATGAATCCAAATGTTTATAGGTTTATTCCCCCATGTTTTATTTTCTAAACAAGTGGAGCACACTTTATAAATCAAATAGGGGCAGGTTAGTGAATCAATTATTGTTTGGTCTTACGATTATGTTTAGTGTTTAGTCGAGAAAATGTAATCGACATGACTACATGGTATTATTATTAATCTACGCCGAAAAGCAACTGGATGGTTGGAGGGGGACAACTTCTTGGACCTGCTTCTTTTCTTTTCCTCCGTTGTTTATGTCTGTATGTCTTGTTTTCTCCAGCACCAAATGATCCTTATTGCTTCATTATGCTTCTCTTTACTCAATCAGACAAACAAACAAAACAAAAAAAACAACAACAAAAAACAAGTAAACAAACAAACAGGCAGAGCGTAGCAGGCAGGAGAGTTACTGGAGGTCATGGTACAATATTTCGTGTAACGCCCTCCTGTATTACGTCAATAAAGCGGTACAGGAGACATACATGGAAAAAGGGGCGTATAAACTGACACCACGCCAGAGGGGAGAGAGAGAGAGAGAGAGAGAGAGAGAGAGAGAGAGAGAGAGAGAGAGAGAGAGAGAG